GGAGAGCCATCCAGTGCTGTTCTGAGTACAAGGATGCAGCCAGGTGCTGCCTGGGCACACAAGAGGAATTAATTGTTGTAAAGCCAGCGTCAGGATTTCTGTCTTCAGTTGGGCACACTCAACCCTGCAGCTAGAAAATGTTCCAACAAAGCTGCAACCGGATCAGTGCTCTCACAAGTTGATTCAGCAGCTGAACTTATTTTTAGGCAGGTTTGAAAGGTTTTGTGTGGCCTGAGATTCAATCATTGTCTTTACATTCAGCTTGTATTATTGCTGGAAAATTAAATCCACAGCAAAGTGAAAGTGTTTCAGAAAAACAAGCTTTTTTTCAAAAAAAAAAAAAGTATACTAAAAATGGTTCAAGTTTTTCTTCTTCCCCCAACTGAAATGACCAGCAAAAGCTGCAATGGTGCTTACCACCCCTCTCAACCACCTCTATTTGACAAAAATTCTAGTGAATTTCTGCTATTCACTCTTAGTGCTATGTGCTGCTTCATAAGGAGCTTAATAATGGCAATGAAACTCACCCCTGTTCCTGAGGCTGAGGAATGGGCTCATTTCTGAGCCCTGTCCTTGGGGGCTGTGGTGCTTGCCATGGTGGGGAGCTTGCAGGGAAGTCCTGAAGAGAATGTCCAAGGAGAAATCAGGTCCTGGGGTTCGTTCCTGGGAATCTGAGCTCCCCCCCTCCAGGACTGAGGGAGTGGATGCTCAGCAAGAGGAGGACAAGAGCTCTGCCAGGGCGTGGGAGCTGGTTGAGGCACGTCCTTATGGCTGACTCATTTCTCCTGCCCTTCATACACTCCCTTGCAGTGCCACAGAAGGAAGGCGGCAGCTTGAGCTCATCTCAGGCCCACCTTGAGTACAGCAAGGTCTGGGACCAACCCTTCTTTAACCGCCCTTCAATTTTTTCTGGCAGCTGTCCAGTTCACGGGGGACTGGGAGAGCGGCTGGGTGACAGCAAACACCTCCTACAAGTCCTTCAGCAGTGTCATGGTGAAGGCGGACATCGGGCTGCACGTTGGCCTGGCGGGGGTGAACGTCACGCTGTTGGGTGAGTCTGATGTCCCTGCCTGTAGTTCTGGGGGTCACGGCCATGGGAGGTCTCCAAGTGCTTTGTGGACGGCCTTGCTTTTACTGGAGGCTTCTGGGCCGATGTCATTGCTGGGTTGCCTGTGCTCCTGGCTGGCAATGCCCAGCCTGCTGGGCCACAGCAAGACCATACATAGTCTCCCTCCTCTGGCAGGAGACCCGGTGAATCAGGTCAATGAGACCATCGACTACAACGAGCACTTTGCCTGGAGCTTCGATGCAGACTACGACCACAGCTACAGCGAAGGCCTGGAGAAGGGGCTGCCCAGCCCCATCCTCTACGTGGCGGAGAAGTTCACCACAGAAAGCCCCTGCAACATGCACAGGCAGTACCGCATCTCCGGCCACTACGCGTCGGCCACTCTCTGGTGAGCTCTTCTCTGCAGGGGAGATGCAAGGACATGGGAAACAATCACAGAATGGCTCAAGTTAGAAAGGGACCTTAAAGACCACCCAGTTCCACCCCCTCTGCCATGGGCAGGGACATCACCCACTAGATCAGGTTACCCAGGGCCCCATCCATCCTGGCCTTGAACACCTCCAGGGATGGGGCATGATGACCACGAATCTCTGCTCCCACATGGAGATCCTCATGTAGATCCTAGGCTATGGCACTTGCACATCTTATCCACTGGTCTTCTCTTGTTTCCAGGGTGGCCTTCTGCACGTGGCTCATCTCCAACATGCTCTTCTCCATGCCCGTCCTAATCTATGGAGGCTACATGGTCCTGACCACAGGGGCTTTCATGATCTTTTCATTGCTTTCCTTCTCTACTGTGAGGAACTCCCTGATATGCCCGATCCAATTTGGGACTGCATCCCTGCTCATAGACTATGGGGGATCTTTCTGGCTCACACTAGTGATTGGTAAGTACAAGCTACATCAGGACTCACCACAGAGTCTGGGTTTGCAAGAGTTCTGTGGTTTTTTTTTCCTCATAAATGGAGGCAAGAGAGCTTGGGGAGTGCAGCCCAGTGGAGGCTCGCCCTGTGCCTTGGCACAACAGCTCCCAGCAGAGGTATGGAGAGGGCTGGCAAAACTGGGAGCACAGTCCCTGTCTTGAGGGTGGTGGAGGGGTTTTTAGTCCCTAAATTGCAGCAGTGCAAGGAATTGGGGACCATAAGCCTGGAATTTAAGACCCATACTTGTTTTTTATGATGCTCAGCACAGAAGCTGAAGTGACCTTATACAGTAGTATGCCGTCTTATATAGGAGAAGGTATTGTCCCTCAGTAGGGGGCCATCAGGGTAGGATATGGGGAGGGAAATGTGTTGGTGTTTACAGGATTGCTCTCACAGAGCACATTGTCTTTCAGGCTTGCTCTGTTTTGTGGCTGGGATCGCTATTGTCGTACTGCACTACTTCAACCCAGACCTACTGAAAACTTTCTTTGACCTCCATGAGGTCAGAACTGAGGACTGCCAAGAGATGACTGAAGTGTACATCAACCCTCAGTTCATGAGCAACACACAATCTCCTCCTCAGCCCTCCAGAATTATCTCCAGCGGCATGTAGAAGAAAGCTTTTCCTATTCCTTCCCTGAAGGCAGGCCCAAGAGGGCAGAGCACAAACCCTTCTTGGTGTCTCCCAACACCCATATCCCTGTCCATCTGCCTCTAAAATGTGCATGAGCCCATGATGGGATGGGGACTTGCTCAGAAGTACCTTTGCAGATTCTCTTTCCCTGATTGTCCTCTCTGGGGAAAGGGCAGGCTTTGCAACGAGCCAGCAGGCTGCAATCTGAGTAGCTCAGATCCCCAGCAAGTTGAGCCATATGCTCACCTGGGGATCTGTCCCAAGGAGAAGTGCCCATTCCTGCTACAGCTTGGTGCAGGGAGTCTGTGGTGGCCAGTTCCCATACCAGAAACTGAGCTTTCTGGTGAGATTTCTCATGGGGAGCACCCGTGACTCCAAAAGCCAGTGATCAAACCTGTTCAGTTTTTCTTTCCCAAGCACTATGTAGACTGTGTAGAACTTGACATGTACCTAGGAAGGCCAGGCACAGACCCAGACTCCCCCGGGCTGGATGCTGCATGAGCTAGAGTAAGAAAGCTGCTCCAAAAATAAAGACTGAGTAAACATACCATGGAGCTTGCCAGGGGGAATGTGGTGATGTGATTGTTTTCACTTTCAAACTTGGGCTTTACGAGATAAGAACTGTAGCCTAACGTGGGCCAAAAAGATGCCACAGGGGAGGGAAGAATGAAATTATACCCGTCCAGCTGGAGCACACTTGTACTGGCTGGGCTTACCACGAAATGCAACCCTGAGTCAGACCCAGCCTGCTTGTAGATGAGGTGAGAAATGAAGTGCATCAAGTTGTGTAATTACAAATAAAAGATGAGCTCTGGAACCAAATCCACCAGCCTCACAAGGTGTCCACTGGCATGTGCAAGGTGATAGTCATATCTGGATGCTGGTTACCTGAAGAGCTTTAATCCAGTTAATTGTGAAGGAGACAATTTCAGTATTTTGACTCTTTTCTTCCTGAGAAAAGATTCTTGCTGTTAAGTTAGACTACTTATTCCTTTGACATGAAGATTGTGTCGCTTTAGTGTGATTTGTTACTGACAAGAATTGTTACTTTTAATAAATTTTTATTTAAAAGTACTTCTTGGAAACGTGTTGGTTATTTTCTGGGGCTGTTTTCTTCTGTGGGGGCTGTGGGTCTTGTCTGCAGGCAAATGCTTGTGAGCTTGCCTGCGGTGGCATCCTTTCTATTGGGGTTGCCCTGGCAGAGGCACCCGCAGGAAGGATGAGACTCATTGGCTTGGCTCAAGGTGGGCCCCTGAGAAACACTTGTCATCAGAAGCAGCATGTTACAGTGTTGTAGGAGACCCTCAAAAAGATTTTAATTAGTTGAATAGCAGGATGAAAACCATAAAACAAGAAAACTCCCTCAAGAAAAGGAAGCTGCTTTCTCAGGTCTTTCATTCTTGAGTGCAGACATATCAGGTCTGGAGGCATTGCGGGAAGATGCTGCAACCAAACACAAGTTATCAAGACTGGTGTGGGACAGATCGTGTGTCCCTGAAGCACAGGAGGCTGGGGGGCTTCCTATCTGTCCTGCCACCGCGTCTGGCACCCTCCTGAGCACTGCAGCACTGAGCACGTTTCTGTTTTGCTCAGGGATGATTATTTTGCCTCACTATGTAATGTCATGTGTTTGTTCACATGCATCATGAGAGCTGTAGTTGTACAGCCCCTGCTTGTGCTGCTGCAGGCCCTACCTCCTCCATACAACACAGATCTTTCCTCAGTTTCCTGGCGGTGCCAGGCTGCTGTTGGACAACAAGATGTAAAGTGATTGCCAACAAAGCCCTGGTTCTCAGCCCAGGCTGCTTCTGGCCCTACGCTGCCCAGATGAGGTTTGATGGCTGGGCAGAACCTGGCATCTCACCAGAGACCCAGTGCCAACAGGCAGAGCAAACACCATTAAGCAACTTGGAGAGCACAGCTTCTGGGGCTCTGTAAGGACCATGGTCCCTGTGCCTGGAGGTAGTCAGTGCCCCAGGACATGCAGCCATCATGTCACCTAGCTTTCACCAGAGCTGCCTGCTACCTTGCCCCTAGGATGGGCTGCAAGGGGGAACATGCTTCAATTTTAATTAGATAAGTAAAAGCGTTTTGTTACACCTTGCATCTTTAGGCTGAAGCGTCTCCTAGTAGACACCTTTGGGAATGTCCTGGCTGAGGTCTCCCAAACCAAAGGAGTTCAGCTCCAACCTCTTTGTAAATGCCTCTTTACCACATAAAAGGCTTTGCCTGTGACTTCTTCCCTATCCTATGATGGCCATGTGAAAGGAACAGCATCTCCAGCCCTCAGAGGGACTCCTTTATTGACAGACAAGATGAAGACTGAGTCCAACATATTTTACTAAGAACAGCAAGTGAATACAACACAGGGGGAAAACAAACAAACAAACAAAACTAAACAAAAAGCATTGGGTGGCCACATCCACCCTGGATTTGCAGGATTCCAGCTTTGCATACCCCATGACAAGTTCATTTCCACAGCCTTTTACACTGAATGTGAATGAAACTGCATCCAGAGCTTTGTGCAGAGCCAGGGGAGGGGAGCGGGGTGAGATGGCCCTTGGTCCCCTCCTGGCTCTTTGTAGGGCAGGCAGACTGCCTGGTGGTTTGATGCTCCTTTGTGATCCAGCCTCCAAGGCTGCTCACGGAATTGTGGTTTGGGGTGTTCATAAGCAGTGTAAGAAGCAGGAGCCTACCGACCAACTCTGACTGCTCTGCTTCCAGCATAGTGTGCAGCCCAGCAGCTCCCTGACCCACTGTCCACGAGCCTCAGCAGTGGGGTGCTTGGATGCATCTGAAATCCAGGATGCCTCCAGAAATTGGTTCCTCCAACATTCAGGACACCATCAGGGTTTGGGACATCCAACATGGCACTAAATCATAGGGGCAGGAATACAACTATTGTTTTTGAGGAATCTTTCCAGATTTGGATATTCTTTTCAGTCAGCTGTTGATGTGTCTCTTCTCACCTGGGCTTCTGGGGGTTTGGACCTGAACATGTATTCGGGGGGATGATGTCCTCTGTCTTTATCCTCCTTCTCCTGTCCCCGCCCAACTGTGTCTTACAGCTGGGTGGTCGTCACCTCGCAAAGCTCATTTAGGGGGACCATCAGTACATCCTGGTCAGAGGAGCTGGACTCATCTGGCAGGTGGGGCTTGTCCCACCCCTCTGCTTTTTCTCCCTTTCCCTCATCCAGGTTAAAGACAAGCTTCAGCTTCTGTGGTCGCACGGAGTTGAGGATGATCACGCCCAGGCCCAGCAGCAGGCACAGCAGCCCTGAAACACACAGAGTGAAGACAAGTGTTGGCCCCTGTGCTTCCTCCTAACATGTCCCATCCCATCCAGACCCAGACCTGGGGATGGAGACCCAGACCCAGACCCAGAGCCAGACCTGGAGATGGAGGCCAGCATCACCTGGGAGGTCAAGGGATGGGTTATTTCCCTTCTCACCTTCCTACTGCACCTCCATATCTAGACACTGCCGTCCATTTGGGCTCTCCAGTACAAGAAACTAGCCAATAAACTTGGGCAGAAGGCCAAAATAGATGGGGCTGGAGCCCACCATGTATGGGGAATGTCTAGAGGAGCTGGGCTTGTTTAGCCAGGTAAAGAGGAGTCTTCAGGGGAACCTCTGCTGAACAAGAGCCAGTCTCTTCTCAGAGGTGCACAGGGGCAACAGGAGAAATTCCACCTTGATATAAGGGAAAAAAATGCTCTCCATGAGTGGAACAGCCATGGGACAGGTTCTGAAAGGCAGAGAGGGTCTCTGACCATGGGGATATCCACCACCAGACCAAACAAGGCCCTAGACAATCTGATGTGTCTTTGTGGTTAACCCTGCTCTGGGCAAGTGATTCAGGACTTCTATAGCACTTCCCAGGGCACGCCTCCACACAGGTAACTGGGGTCACTCAGATGAGTGTGGACAAAGTACTTTTGGGGCATCATTGCTGCAGGGATGAGCAACAAAAGCCCCAGTAGCAAGCTGAGCACCCACCTGTTGCTAATGTCAGCCAAAAGGATCCACCGTAGTCTGTTTTCAGGGAGGCTCGTCCAAACTGGATGGGACACTTCGGGGTGTTCCTCGCAGTGATGAAGAAGAGCAGTGAGAAGAGCATCAGCGCAGCAGTGAGCAGGAGCATGTAGCCACCATAAAGGAGGATGGGCATGGAGAAGAGCAGGATGGAAATGAGCCAGGTGCATAAGGCCATCCTGTGAAAGGACCACAAAACTGAGCTGCACGCAGTCACACTTGGACATGAAAATTCCTGTGGTGGTAGAGGGGCCTCTCCACACCCAGGGGTATCCAACACTAAGCTGCACAAGGCCCCGAGCACCCTGATTTGGCTTTGACACGAGCCCTGCTCTGAAGTGGGGGCTCATCTGGGGACCTCCAGAAGTCCCTTCCAAATTAAGCCTTTCTCTGGCCAACTACAGGTATTTCCCACCTATTCAAAGGGAGGATGGCAGCAAGGAAGAGCTTTGTAGGAAGAACCAAACAAGAAGCCCTGCCCGCCTCTGATTCAGCAGCTGGAGTGAACCCAGCTCCCAGCCCTGCCCTGTGCGTGGTTTTTGCGTTTATCTCATGGGGAGGTGAGAAATTGTTATGATTCCAAGAACAATAAAGAAGAATACTTTTACATCAACTCCCCTGCCTTGAAATGACTCCCTTCTCAAAAGCAGGGAGGTTTAGGCATGGCCAGTTACTTCTGAGAATGAAGAGGGGGACGTGAGCTGGGGCTGGGTGCTGGCACCCTTGCAAGGAATCACAAGGCACTTGTCTCTGCAGCCTTTCTTATGATCTGAGACATGTGGGGATGCTCTGAGACCCTGCAGTCATGGCACACACAAAGGATCCCCATTTTATGCCAAAAACAGCCCCTGAGCACCCTCTCAATGTTCCCTCCTGCTCCCCCCCAGCAGGTCTCACGCCTGCTCCAGCTTGCTGGAGGAACCCCCATGGTCTCAGCAGGGCTCTGCATCTTCAGCCAGGTGGCCTGGGAGAGGACCTTGTGCCAGAAGCCTCACGAAGTGCGCTGGGTCTGGCTGGGATGGAGTTAACTTTCCTTGCAGCCCATACAATGCTGTGCCTGCACTTGTAGCTAGAACAACTCTAGTGTCACACCAGTGTTGTGTCTGCTGCTGAGCAGTGCTGGCACAGCATCGGGACTCCTTCAAAGGCCACCCAAAACCAGTAGGTAGGCAGTGGGCAAGAGGTGGGGAGGGGATATCACAGGGGCAGCTGACTTAAACTGGCCAAAGGGATATTCCATACTGCATGGTGTCACACCCAGCAATTAAACGTGGGGAAGAGGAGAATGTCTCGTTATGAAGACATCTGTCCTCCCAGACAACTGCTATGCATACTGAGGTCCTGCTTTCCAGGACATGGCAGAACATCAATCAATGATGGGAAGTAGAGAATTTTTTTTTCCTCTCCTTGTGCTTCAGCACAGACTTTGCTTGTTGTTTTTTGTTTTTTTTTTTTTTTTTTTTTTTTTCCCTTTCTCTCTCTCTCTCTCTCTCTCTTTTTTTTTTTTATTTTTTTTCCTCTTCCATTTCCCTTTAATTAAATTATCTTTATCTCAACCCTTGAACCTTTGAGCCTTTTTTTTTGCCTTTTTTTTTCCCATTCCAACATACTTCCTTCTCACACTCTTCTGAGGAGGGGAGGTGAGAGAACAGCTGTGGTGGAGTTCATCAGGCCAGGAAGGTAAAATCACCACACGAAGCTTCCTGTGCTTTCCTTTAGATAATGCAGAATATTTTCACCACCTTGCTGCATTAGGGTGCGGGGGTTAGATAAGGACTACAGGGGAGATGACCAAGCATGGGCGTGAGCCATGCTGGAATCTCTAATTCTTCAGAAGGGAGGGTCCCTGAGACCAGCCAAGGCTTTTTTTGTGGACTTCCAAGGAAGAGAGCAGCTCCAACAAGCACTCTTGGCTCTACTCGGTTCTTCCTACTTCCCGACTAAGCCCTGGAACTGACCTCCTGCTCCACCTTACCACAGCGTGATGGACGCGTAGCGGCCGGAGATGCGGTACTGCCTGTGCATGTTGCAGGGGCTTTCTGTGGTGAACTTCTCTGCCACGTAGAGGATGGGACTGGGCAGCCCCTTCTCCAGGCCTTCGCTATAGCTGTGGTCGTAGTCTGCATCGAAGCTCCAGGCAAAGTGCTCGTTGTAGTTGATGGTCTCATTGACCTGATTCACCGGGTTTCCTGCCAGAGGAGGAAGACTTAGGTCTTCTCTCAGCCTTAGAGACAGCTCCAAGGTTTCCCGGTACATGCAGGGTAGCCAAGCTTGTGCCCAATCCCTTCCGTTTGCGATATGCACTCACCCACCAGCGTGACGTTCACCCCCGCCAGGCCGATGTGCAGCCCGATGTCCGCCTTCACCACGGCACTGCTGAAGGACTTGTAGGAGGTGTTTGCTGTCACCCAGCCGCTCTCCCAGTCCCTGGTGAACTGCATGGCTGTAAGGACAGGTTAGCCATGGCCTGGTGGCCAGACATCTAGCGACAATGTCCGTGGGAGGACCTGCTGGGACTGCCACCATGGCCTGAACACCATCCCAAGGGTGAGGCCTAGGTTGTAAGCCTGGCTTGTGAGCAGAAGGTACACGTGCTTGGGTGTCATCTCTCCAACACCTACACATGAGCTCGGGTAGGTTTCGTCGGGTAAGGAAAAAGACATCCATTCGGGATGGTTTCTCCTAGCTCAGCCCTCTGGACCTACTGGCAATGGGGCTGGCTTGTGGGCACCCTCCAGACTTTGGTCCTCATCTAAATGCCTGCCAGTTTGTCTGGGTCCCCTGGCAGATGGCATCAGACTTCCATTGTCCATGCTAGAGATGCTCTGTGCATCTGACCACCAACCTTTAGAGGAGCTGGCTCCCATCACTTGCTGATTGCCCTGAGGGAGCCAGGTGCTGGGCACAGAAATGGGTTGGTCTTCCCTATGAGCTCATCCTGCAGGCTGGGCTTGGCTGCTCCATTCATTTCATCCCCCCACACCTCACTCCTCCATGCCACACATCTTGGACATCCTTGCTCTTCCCCACCTGGCTCCAAGTGCCCCTGGACCCCCGTACTCACTGAGGACCACGGCTCCGATGAAGAGTCCCATCATCACCCGCAGGAGCCAGAAGAGTCGCTGCAAGTGGGAAGCAGAGGTCTCAGATTTTGTGACCTGGATCTCAGCTCCAAGCATGTCCCACCAGAAATGGGGCCATCCTTAGCCTGGGGAGCCACCCCACAGGCTCTGTGAGTTGGTAGGAAAGGGGAAGGACCCATGGGCTTCCCTTCCATGGCATGGGGAAACCTGGGGGGAGAAGGCAGAAGGGAGGTCGAGGCAGGGTAAGAAGGTCAAAACCTGTTTTGACCTTCTTTCCATTTGGGAAAACCGTGCCTTTCCCTTTCTGAGAAAGATGGAGCCACTCCCTTTCATAGTCCCGAGTGGAAGTTTTCACACTTATCCAAAGCTTGCAAGTTTTTATGTGTTGGCAGCTGGCCACAGCTGGAGACAAAAACAGTGGGGTGGTGGGTTGGCTGGGTGGGAAACACCTTTCTGCAGGCTTGTGATGTGCGAGCAGTGGGGTCACGGCAAAGTGGGTTTGCCACACATCCCCCCGGGCTTGTCTGGCAGTGCTGAGGCATGCATAGCGCACACCGCCTGTTTTTTTGGGGATTCAGGAAGGTGGAGCAAGTTCTTTGTGCCTCACCCAGTGAAATCATTCAGGCTAAATCTAACCGAGAACTTGCCAAGCTCAGATCTGGGCTGCCTGTAAATTTGGGGTGGTGGAGTCCGGCATGGGAGCTGGGCTGGAGCTTGTCCTCGGGGCTCGCTGGAGATCCCACAGCCCTGGCCATCAGCAGGCCCCTGCCCCGGGGGCACATTTACTCCAGGGTCTGCTGTAGAGGCAGGGAAGGGGGCAGCACATGGGATGCACCCAGCATGGGGCTGAGCCCTCCCAGCCCCTCCACTTACCCCCTTTCCTCGGATGCCCGGCAGGATGATGATGGAAGTGGCCAGAGCAGAGAGGAAGACGGAGGCGATGACGGCCGAGGTGGTGTTGAAGGGGAAGCAAGCATTGGTGCCAGCGTAGAAGGGGAAGGAGCCATTCCACAGCGTCATCCTGCTGCCTGGGGGGTTGGAAATTGGCACCTGGATCCCCCACTACGAGCATCACCACCTCGCATCTGGGAGTGCATTCAGGCAACCCCCATGGGACCCCCTCCACCTCCCCATGGCCACATCCCAGAGAAAAGCAGGCTCAGAGCTGCAGGAGTTTCAGCTGCAATGCTTAAGTGTGTCCCCAGAACTGGCAGCAAGGTGCACACACATGGCTGGACCTCCTGCTTGCTCCTCTTGCTTGTTCTCCACCCCTGGTCTTTTGTCTGGGCTTCCACCCTGCCTTGGGCTGTCTTCTAATCAAAAAATCCAGCTTCTGCTTGTGTGCAGGAGGCACTCCATATATCGGGGCTGCTCCTCCCCAAGCCCCAGATGGAGGCAACCCCAAGGGAGCAGGATTAACCCAGAGGCAACAGAGAAGCTGCCCCGTGTCACTACTTCCAACCCCGCATCCTCAGAGCTGGCTGGCGGCAGCACCATGCCACAGCAAGCAGAGAACTTGGAAAACAAGCATGCTGTCATGGTTTTGGCCAAGGCACTTGGCCAAGACACTGCTGGACACCCCTGGGTAGTGGGGACCATCTGAGCAGCACCTGCAGAAGCACCCGCACCCCTTCCCCATGCCGAGCCTACCTCTGCCGCGGCGATGCCGGAGCGCCCGCCGATCCCCAGGGCCAGGCTGCTGCTCAGAGGTGCTGCCTCCCCTGCCTGCCCACGCTGCCTCCCAGGGCTGCAGGCAAGAAGCCAGCCTGGCGTGTTTCTCCCAGCAGTTTTCTTGTGCTTCCAACCCCCTCGGCAGAGGGAGGGTAAAACCACGTCTTGTTTTTTACCAAGTTCATGCCCAGCAGGAAATGAGGCATTCCCGGTCAGACTTTGCCATTTTCCCTCAAGTCCCAGACTGTTGCTACTCTATCTGAACACTGAATCCCTCCCTGGGGGTTGTTTAAAAAAAAAAAAAAAAAAAAAAAAAAGATGAACAAAGGGGTGGCAAAGGTGACGTGGCTGGGAAACATGTGCAGAACTGTGCTGCGGGCGCATCTGCTGGCTCAGGCAATGCCTGGATGTGGAGTCAGCTCCAGATCCAGAAGCATCTGCAAAGCAAGGGAGATGTGGGCTTCAGAGCAAATGGGGCAGGTGCTTTGGGGTGATCACTAGAGTTTGTGGCTTTGGGCCGCCTGGAGAAGTGTGGGAGAGGGACAACCAAGGAGATGCCCGGTCCAGCTGTTAGAATCCCACTTCCCAGAGAAAGGATTTCACTGAATTTCCACACAACCCTTTTTCTCCATGGAGTGGGAGCTGATGGTTCATGCACAGCACAGTTGTACTTCTCCCTGGAGAAGAGCCCTGCGAGTTGGAGCTGCCATCCTTCCCCAGAGACCCCCGTCCCCAGTGGCAATGGGACCGTGGTGTGGCATTGGCGAGGGGATGCTGCACATCTCTGAGCTGCTGGTGGGGTCATTGGCATATGGCTGGCTTTGCCTTTCCCCAGCACTCTGCATCCACAGAAAGGTCTTATGGGAAGCCTAAGGCCACAATGATAGCTCAAACTTTTTTTTTTTTTGCTTTTTTTCCCCCCCCCCCCTCCTTTCAATTTTTTGGGTATTTCTCCTATTTTCTGAGGGACAATGGTGGTGCAGTCATGCCATTCTCCAGACACCTTCCAGGGAACAGGTCTAGGGGGGAGTTTTAGGTGCAGAAGCCTACAGCCACGTGCCCAGGGCACTGCTCCTGCCGTGAGCACCCTGCCCACAGTTTGAGAGACATCTTTTATCAAGCTGCTTCTGCTTCGCCCTGTTTGCAGTGATGGATGAGGGTGAGTCACCCCATCCAGGCCACGGCAGGGAGTGGGGCGGTGGGAGCAGCCCCTCTTGTGCAAGCTGCCTCACCATTTCTTGCAGTGCTGGGAGCCAAGGCGGGGACAGCGTGGGGATGTGCTTAGCCAGGGAGGTGGCTTTGGGGACACATCAGGAGCCCAGGAGGCCACCACAAGGGATTTGTGCACAGCCTGTTGGGGCCAATGGGGTAGATGTGGCGTTTGCCTCCAGGTGTCACCATGGCCATCCCCATTCCTGGTCCCAAGCATGGACACGGACACCTCAGCTGGGGCCAGGCAGCAGGTCTGTTGTGGTGCAGCCCATCTAACATCCCCTATCCAACATCCCATCACTGGAAGAGGTCTGGGTGTCAGAGGGAAAGGTCTGGGTGTCAGAGGGAAAGGCCTCCTGTTGGCCCAAGGGAAACCTGCTGGGATCTCCCCAGCAGAGGGTGCCCACCAGGTAGGCAGCGGCATGGTGCCCATGGAGCCACAAAGGTGATCACCATGAAGGTGACAAGGGGCAGGTGCTTGCGGCTGCTGTGGAGCCAAACACAAGAGGAAAAGGCCAGGCATCTCAGCATGTGAGACCTGCAAAACAAGACCGGCCAAGAGGCCAGGGCACGGCATGGCTCCTCTCCCCTCCCTGTGACTGCTGCCTGTCTCAGCTCCTGACTCGTGGCCGCCATCCACGGCAGGCTCATCCCAGCAGCCAGGCCTGGGCAGCAGGCTGGTCACACCTCCGACGTGTGTCACGCCGTGCATCACGTCCCTGCCCGCCTGCTTCCTGGGGAGCGGTGCTGGGGACACGGGGAGCAGCTCTGACCCATCTCTTCCACCAGCCACAGCTCCTGCCAGGCCCGCTACCGCCCGGCCTTAGCAGTGTGAGTACCTTCACTGGACAGGGAGTGGAGAAATGCCCCAAACTGCCTGGGTTGAAGTTTCTCCACCTCCCTTATCCAGAGATATGATAGACTTGGCCCATTCTCTACCAGCAAACGCAGACCCATGGGCTGGGGCTGCCTAGAATGCCATAAGCTAAACAGGCCAACCTGGTTTATTTCATGCTTCATCCTAGTGCAAAACCCTGAAAGCAAGAGCACAATCCTGTGCCAGTCCACACTGCTCAACAGGTATAAAAGCTCAAAGACTTGTCCTTGCACACACATGGCTAATTAGAAGGAGGCAGAGCTACTGTGATCTTCGCTTCCAAGGCCAGCATGCTGCTTGACCTCGCCCTGGCAAAAGCCAACCATTGCACCAAGATCTTCCTGTGCGGTTGGTTTGCTCCAAGGAGCATCAGGAGTGAGCTTGGTGGCCAGGCTGCAGCATGGGGTGAGGGATGGGATCAGGCTGCCAGTGGGTAGGATCATTGCTGGGTGCTGGGTTGCAGCTACAGGCCAGGGATTAGTGTCTTGTGGTGGAGACACAGGAGGGCTAACAGGGAGATGGAGCTCAGCAGGAGCCTTCATCCTCCCAGAAGGAGGTGACAAAGGCATGAGGCTTTGGGACACATTTCATCATGGATTTCACCACCACAGCTTGGATAACCCCTTCCTGGAGATAACAGCCCTTCCTGTCAGTTTGACGTAGCAAAGAGGGAGCTGCCCCTTTCCAAGCTTTGCTGGGGCTTGTTGACGATGCACTATGTGGTAATTAGCACTTTCAGCCCAGGTTGCAATTTAGAGAGAAGCTTTCCCTCATAATCCCTGCTGTTAGAGGCCTAATTAAAGCGATACCCATTTTTCCATGGAACTCCTGTGTTTAGCATCACCACAACAGCCCCAAAATTGATGAACAGAGCTGTGCTACCCCACCTAGGATTCAGGTCTGTGTCTGAGCACACACAAGCACTGTACACCCCATACCCTACCTGTGGGTAGAAGATCATCAGAATATCTGCATCCTCCATCCAGGCAAAAAGGCCAATAGCACATGGTGTGATAGGAAACCATTCCGAAGAGGTGGAAAGCCCTGAGGGCTGCTCTGCAGTGTGTGGGTAGAAGTATTGTAAAATAACTTGCAACCAACTGCTTGCTTAATATTTAAATAATAATAATAATCATCATCAATAGGATCAAGGTAGTCTGCAAGCAGAGAGAAGGTTGCCTTAGCTTAGACGCAACAAATAGCTGCAAATAGTGCTGACTGCAGCTGGAACTGCTACAGATTTCTGGAGGGACTGTGGAAAGGAAACTTCCCAAAGTTTACTGGGAGCTTTGTTTGTCCTTATCCTGGTGGAGGAAAATTGAGAGCAAGGAATGTCCTAAATTCATTTTTCCTAGAGCAGATCTGGAAGAAGGAGGGAACACATGCTATAGGAACAGTGCTGCACAAAGCAACTCCCGTGTGCTACATCAAGTTTATCCCTCTCAACATATTTTATAAACCGCGAGCTTGAAAAAACAATTAATACATGATTATTTTATTCTTATTCCTGGTTATTATCACCATGCAGAAATTAAAACTGTGGCATAAGTATATAGAAAGTGGAAATGACATTATGACAGACCTCCCCCCCTCCACACATCATCACCCTGATGGGTTTTGGGGCCTGCTGGCTGCAGGAAGGCTCTTACCTGGCCGTGTGGCTGGTTTTGCCCCTGCTGCTCCAGAACCTTTTCCATCCGTTGAAGACTGACTTCTTTCTGCCAGGAACAAATGCTGCAAAGAAAGCCTGTAAAAAGTTTTTGTGGATCTGTAGCTGGGACAGTCTCTATCTCCCTCTAGCCTTGGGCAGCAACATCTGCTGCATGGACATTGTGAGACTGTCCTGAGCGCTTCACATAGGGGACCTTGGGTGAGACACAGCCCTGAGATGGCCCAAAGCCTCCCAAACTAGCAGAGAGATGCAATTCCCTCAGTGCAAAGAGCTGCAGAAATCACCAGATTTCCAGACACCGTGTTTTATGATGTCCTTGTTTCAGTTGCTTATCCACAGACTACCCAAATCCAGAACAAGCTGTGCTGTTTGCCTTGGACTTTCAGGTAGATCTCTGTCAGGCCAGAACACATCCCCTGCTCCTCTTCAGCTGACTCTCTTCCTGGGGGCCTCAGGTGGAAGGACCAGATGCAATGCAGTGCTAAATCCACATCAGGGTCCCATACCTGTTTTTTTCCAAAGTGCTTCTGCCGTGCTCCAGACAGACGGGAAGAGCTGGTACATGGCTTAAATCTCCCTTCTCTTCACCTCCCAGGTGAGCCCATCCTCAGTCCCAAAAGCTGACCAAGGAACGCTGGCCACATGTGCTCCGATGACGGGGCTGGACTACTTTGAAGAAAACAGTGCTGGATTCAGGGTACAAATCCTTGCTCTCTGCTCTTTGCCATTTGGCAAGATCCCTCTGGGCACTTCTCGTTGTCCTACCATCACACCCTTGATGGAGCTACCCAGATGGCTTGCAATCCTACTCTGCATTTTGCCTTGGCTCCTCTGCAGCAGGATGCCCTGCTCCCTGGAAATCATTTTCAAGACAATAGGTGTGCTAAGCACTGGACACCCACTTTCTGAAGCTGTCTCAGCATTTGGATTAATTGGGTTTAACTTGTTCAGGTCAGATTTAGGTGGCCATATCAGGAAGAGAGGGTCTTCCCTGGAGATGCATGGGGGGCGGGGGGTGTCAATGGTGTTTAGAAGATGAAGATCATTTTTGCCTCCTGATGACAAGCTGATTTCCTTTCTGCCCCTTTCTCCCTCCTCTTCATTGCCTGGTTTCTTGGTCTCCCATTGAAAAGGGGTCTCAAAACACTGCAGAGGAAGGAGCAGACCAACCTGAGGCCTGACACCTTTGCTGAGGATGGAGGAGAGCCAGTCCCATGCAACTGAGCATGACAGGGAGCAGTTCGCTAAGCCTGGGACACTAATGACACCAAGTGGTAGTAGTGAACCTTCAACCACATAGCTCTGAGCCAGCTCCTCCTCACGGGGCAGTCCCACAACTGAATAGAAACAAATGCCGGGGTGACAGTGGCTTATCACCTTATCACCAACTGAAGAAGGACTGGGGGTTTGGGGTTGATTGTTTGCCTTTCAGTATGAGAGAGCAAGAAACAATGAAACAGCTAAGTGGTGGAGTAGCAGGCCCAGTACTGGGCTATGCAGCCTTCATCCCCAGAGGTTTTCAAGACCCAACAAGACAAAGCCCTGAGCAACCTGCTCTGACCCCAGAGCTGGCCCTCCTTTGAGCAGGTGGCTGGACTAGAGACCTGCTCAGGTCCTCTCCACCCCAAATTATCCTGTGCTCCTAGGATGGTGCCCAAGGCAGGCTTCTTTCTGTGCAACACAGGGCTCTGCGGGGCCAACCCAGCTCCAGTGGTCTTACATGGCAGCTCAACGTGGCCTGGATCTTTGGATCCTCTACCCAACAGAGACCTCTTGTGTCTTACCTGCAGCCCTGGTGCACTACGTATGAAGATGTATGCGTCCTCTGCCACCTCATGCTCAAGAGATGAATAGGTCTGGCAAGAATTACCTGTTCCTTCTAGCTGATCTGCATTCAGAGAGGCTCTGCTCAGACAACCACCTTTCCTAAGTGCTCAGCACCTGAATCAGTATTCAAATACTTATATTACGTTAACTGGGAATACATTAAGCTCCCCAAATAATACATCAATTTCCCCTCAATCGAGCCTGTTTTTCCTGTGATAATAATTGCTAAGCAACCAATTCACCTTTATCTTGGGGTCTGGGGCAGACAGTGGACAGACAGACAGGTAAAACAGAGAGGTTCCTGCTGGGAGAGGGAGGCTCTCACCTTGGTGCCTCATAGCAGGTTTCTGCTGCGGCATCCAGAAACCTGCCTACCTTCCCCTTAGCAAGCTGTGAGCTGCAGTTCGACTCCATGGCACATCATGAGACAGCTGAGCATCAGGTCAGGAATCCCATAAGACTGTCACTCCATCACACTGCCGTCTGAGAGGCATCTGGTCTGCTCCAGCATCAAACACGATAAGCTATGTCATTATTTCTCTTGCTCATAATTAGCTTATAAGACAAGGCTTTGATACAGCTAACAGGAGGCAAGCTGGGGGTCACCCACATCCCAGCACACAGCAACGAGGTTGGGGAAAAAATAAAAAATTAACTGAAGAAAGGTGCCTCCCAGAAAACATCTCCCCCAAGTACAAAGTACCCTACTGTTGGGGTGTTTGATAGGGAGCTCCAAGTTTTGGAGACAATGCTGGGGGCAAACCAGTTACAGGACATTTGGTTTTCATCTGCCAAAACCAACCTTCAAATAGATGAGAGAACTCCAACAGCTCAAAATCAGGGCTGTAAGTGGGAGAAAAGATGCTCTTTTATTGGTCTAAAACCTGTATTTGGTGTGCATTTGCTGGCAGGCTCATTTTCTGCAAACATGATCAGTGCAAATGCACCTGGACTGGTTGCACCCACAACAGGCTCCAAACCCCAAGACTGAAGATTCCCGCCACAGCTTTCCCCTCCCTCTGCACACATCAGCATGTGCCCAGGGTGACTGGGAACACTCATGATGAGAAGCTGCTCACAGCCTGCACTCTGAAGGACAGCAGAGGAATGTAGTAAACCCTGGGGTTCTGCTCCAACCAGAAATCACCGTGATATAGGCAAAATGCTTTTTTGTTTTCACAGGAACACGCTAATAATCTCTCCAGCAAGGAAGGTTTATAGGGTGCTTCAGTAGGACAGTGCTGTAAAAACTTACCCACGCTCACACTTTTATCCAACAGCAGTGAGCAGGAACAGCAGGGAGCATATCCTTTTGCCTTCTGGTTGCTGAGATCCAAGAGCCTCCCTCCATTTCCCATTCTTCCTTCACAAGCCATGGGTTCAACCTTTCCACCCCCAAATAAAGTCTAAGCTGCTGTTTGCAAAGAGCTAATTTTATTTGCAGGGGCACGTCAGATATCAAGAAAGCAGAAAACATACAGGAAATATACAGGGTGGCTCTGCTTTTCATACAAGCAATCACTATTAACAGTATTACAGAAAGAATAAATAAAAAGTGATGTTGCTACAGTAACCCACAAGGATTATGATCTCCTCCGTTTGCCGTGCACGGCCAAGCCTACAGACTCCATCCTCCACTGCTCTGCTCCTTCAGTTTGAAAAATACTTCTCCAGCACCTTTGTCAAAAGCCCAGTCTCCTGCAAGAAAAGGCACAACAGTGAACAACTGGTCCCATACACAGCCTTGGTTGGCATCAGCTGCCTGGGCAGCATGGGGCTCAGCAGCTGGATCACAGCTGACATCGGAGGTGAGCTGTGCTGACACTGAGACGGTCACCGCTGCGTTGGATTTCAGGGGTGAGAGCAGCTGCAGGGCCCAATCCAGCAGGGAGCTACATGAGAAGGCATAAAACACACAAAACACAGCAGAGAGAAGTTGTAGATGGATTTTTTGAGGGATTGCATACTGCCCAGAGCTACACAGAGCAGCATTTGTTTTCCACCCAGAGGAGCTCTCCCCCTACCCTGGAGTCATCTCATTCCACACACAGGTCTCACCGTGGTCGCCTCCAGAAGAAATATTGCCGTACACACAAGGAGATGCCAGCCCTTCCCACCCCCACTGAGGATCCTCCCCTCCCAAAGATTCGTCACACGTAGCACTGGGGCAGCACCAGGAACCCCCTGAGCACAAGCCTTGCCTATTGCATTTAGTTGAAAAGATTAAAAATAAAAAATAAAAAAATGTTTGCAAGCCCCTTCTGCTCTGTGAGACTTCTTGCATCACTAACCATGAAATACGTGCTCCTGCTTTGGGAAGGGACATCTTGGGATAAATCCCACTGGCAAGGTAGGAAAAACAAAAATACTAAGCCCTGGGACTTGTTTAATGTTTAGAGGAGCCCCACAGAAAGGAAGAGCCGTTCTGCGAATGATTAGCAACAGCCTCAGGAAGGGAAAGGTCCACTTGTTTTTTCATTAAGTCTGCATTCCCTTGACAGCTATCCTGCTACAAAGGACAGCTTGTGTGCTGGAGCAGCAGAGCAACACATAGCATGTCAATTCTTGTCCTGCTGACCAGCAGGTCCCAGTGAAGGGAGAAGCATCTTGGCTTTTCTAAACCATGTCAAGATGGAAATGACAAACCCCAAGTAGAGGGCACATGGAGAGTTTCATGACATAAAGCTCTTAAGCATCGTCGTAGGCAGGCAGCAAACACTGCCCACAGATCAGTTCAGGCACACACTGGCTGCTGACGCCAGGTGTCCAACAACAGTCAGAGTGAGGGAGAAAGCAGTAAAAGTGGCAGAAATTTGCACTGGCAATGTGTCACCCACAGGAGCAAGAAGTATAGTCCTACAGAAAAGCGTAACAAGAGCAGTGCTCAAAGGCACCAAGGAAAAGAAACATCAACCAGCAGCTCTGAGGCAAGGACACCCCAGAGGGTGAGAAGGCAGGAGGAGGAAGGCAGGAACTGAGTCCAGTGAGGTGCTCAGAGGTGGTTGAAAGACACAACCAGGCGTAATGCCTGCAAAGAGCAAGGTCCTGCTGCCACCAGGATGGCTGGTACCCACCAGATCAAGGCAGGAGAGGCAAGAGGTTCTGGGAAGAAACTGTGAGGGACAGGAGCCAGCAGCACACCAGGCACCTAAGCTGCAACACCACCTCTCACGCAGCCACCAGAGGCATCAGAGCAATGAGGCAGGCAGCTGGCAAGCGTCTGCTTCATGCAGAGCCAAATTGCTCTCCAGCAATGGAGCTTCGACACCCAGATCACACACCAAAGGTGAATGTTTAACAGTGGGTGCTAACCCTGGCCAGGACCTGCTTTTGAGCACTGAGAATGAGCACAGTTGTGGCTGGCAGAGCACAGGCACCTCCAGCTGGCAGCCTAAGCCACGGGACCACTGTTTGAGGAAACATCCACCCAAGTGCACCTGTGACAGAGCAGTGACAGCATGACTTACCTACATGGAGGAGATCCACGAGGATCACACATCCAGCTCTCACATTTCAGATAGCTAATGCAGCAAATATCCTCCTCCTCAAAGGCTCCCCAAGGCTGGTTGACAAAAAGTCCAGGACCTGCAGAGCTTTCTCCTCCCTTGCAGCTGCATCTAAGGAGTGCAAGCTGCAGCACTGCAGTGGACAGCACAACATGAGGAGAGCAGGATGTCTTCGGCCACATCCAGCTTCTATCCCTCTCTATCCCACTGGGACTAGTTCCCTAGGAGAGCCTCAGTTTACCTTAATCTGAAGGAATCAAGTCAGGAAGGTGCTCGAATATACCACTCAGGCTGACCTCCCTGCAGCTCTGCTTCACTTGTGCCTTCCCTACAAAAAAGCAAATAATAGGAGCAAGCACTTTCTAAACCTGTACGACAGAAGCAGCTTTACCTGTATTCACTGTTACTGGATAAGCTCCTCAAGCAAGCAGCTCAGTGGTACAGCACACTCAGGACCCACCTAAGTGGATTTCATCCCTTCAAGGCTCTCCATTACTTCCTGCTGTGAATAGAAATGGCAAGACACCAGGGAAGCATACATGAGGCAGCAAATGGGCAGAACCACATGGACCAAGCAATTCCATCTCCATGTTTTAAGAGAAGATCTGGGCTCGCTTTGCTCCCAGAGGCTTAATTTTCTACTAGGAGTTGGGTGAGCTCTCAGGCAAAAGCCACACCAAGGAGCTAAAAGAGGAGGCTGAGGACCTGCTGACATAGCTGATGGAGCTCCCGCTGCAGACAGAGCACTTGCCTGCTGCCTGATACCCACTCTGTGGCAGAATAGTTCACACCTTCCCTCTGCAAACCAAGCTAACAACGCTACATGCCCCTTCTGTAATGAGGCATCCTGAGCACAGCAACACAACCACCCCAGAAAGGGGAATCAGAAGCCCAAGACCTCTCTGTAGGGCAGACTTTTCCCTGTACATACAAAGCCATGTCCCTCTTTGCTTTTCTCTACAGAAAGCAAGGGGAGGCAGGATTTCCAGGTCCTTGCGGTGGCTGGGTAAGGAGACTTATTTCTTTATGAGAGCCGCAGTAGCCAGCTGTCCTCCTCTGCATTGAGGAGGACCCAGATGCTCAATAACAACCCCTGGGCTGGAGATCATGACATCGCCTGCCCAGCCTCACACCCTTCCCAAACATTTGGGACCACCAGCTGCTGTCCAACTGGATGCAAGCCTTGACAGATTTATCTGCTCCTTTGTGGCTGCTCTAGGGAAGTAATTTAAGGCAGGTTAAAGGGAGCAAGAGGGGAAATAAACCTATAGCAGCTGTACAGGTGTTCCCAGCAAGGCTGGCTGTTGCAGATTAACATCACGACCACCTCCCTGCTCTGGGCATCTCCTCCCATATTAGTCAATATTCACCTGATCAGCAAGGTCATATTTTCCTTGGTTCTCATCCAAAAGTCTTTCTTGCAAGAGTATTTTCAGGAGCTCACGGGTGAGCAGTTCCATCATGTCCTCCAGCAAGGCTCTGAGCGAGGGACCAAAAACCATCGGCACTGCGGGCTCTTCGGGTGACTCCAGGCGCGGGGTGCCCGTGACGCTCTTCTTCCCCATGAAGTGTCCTGCAACACAACGCGCTTGTGTGGCTACACAAAGGGCTGGAGAGCGGCAGAGACTCCGGCTGAATGACATTGAGCTGTTATCTGCTACCGCATGCTGACACCACTCTGTGAGATGCACCAAGCAACCCTGATGTCTAAAACAGCTGGATACAATGCAGAGAAACCCGGAGATCCCAGGTCCTCGTTCCTCACCAGACCTCAGGGGACTGGAATTACCACCCCCAGGAGATGTCACCTGCTTCACCAGGGAGCATCACCTCCACCCTCAGGCTCTCCAGCCACATTCTGTGGGCAGGGACCACACGTCCCATGCCACCACCCCAAATGACAGCACAACCAGAGACCCCCCCCCCCCCCCAAACCTCCTCGTGAACGGGAACCACCCCGGGACCCTCCCCCCCACCCTGCACCCCGCACCCCCGCTCCCACCCCCTCACCCCCAGCCGCTCTGCCCCAGGGGGACCCGCGTTACCTGTGGCCCAGAGGTTTCCGCGGGGGTTGACCTTGATCTTGGCCGCCTGGCTGCGGTGCTCGGCGAAGTCGAGGTGCACGGCGGGCCCCAGCGCGGCTCCGCACAGCAGCAGCAGGAGGCAGCGCAGCGCCGCCATGGCCGCCTCGGCGGGACCCTCTCCCGCCTGGCGCCTCCGCTGCCGCCGCCCCGCTTTATATACCCCGGGGGGCGGGGCCTCGCTTAGCCACGCCCCCTCCACCTCAGCGCGTGGGCTTCCCGCCACGCCCCCCCCGCGCCCCCCCCCGCGACCGTTGGGCTCCTCGCGCTCCCCCCTCAGCCGCCCGCTTCCCGCCCTCGGCGTCCCCTCAGCGGGGCGGCCCCTGCGGAGCCAGATCCCAGTTTCCCTGCTCAGCCTGTTACAAGTAAAGTAGCGGCAGAAGACCTGATGTGGCTCAACAAACTGAGCTCCGAGTTTCCAATCATTATCCCTACATGTCCACATAGTTTTCAAATCCTCTATGCCCTGTCCCTGCTTCCACCTTCCACATATAGCCTGCGGATGTTGGAGCTCAGTCGCAAGCTCCCAGCTTAGCCAAGACATCTCCCAGTACATTTTTACCTGGTTATTGGGATGGCTTTGTAAGGTTCTGTCCTTAAACCTACCAGCTCTCCTGAGTTCCTTCACCCTTTTGGCCTGTGGCCTCCTATGGGAAGCAGATCTGTTTCCCAAAGCAAAGGGTGGCTGCTTGCCTTTTTAAGCCACTTCAGGATCTTGAGGACCTTACCACCACAGCCACACCTGCCATAGATTATCACATTCCCCCCCAAATTTGTCTTTTTTGCATGAATAGGACACAGCCGTGCATACCCAGCAACACCATGGCTGAGGTTGTGCACACCCTGCCATGCCGGGAGCAGTGACGGTAAGGGCCTGAAGCAGTGACTGCTGAACACAGTGAAATCCACATAAAACTTGGTCAAACAGGACCCTGAGACACAGACTGTGCTTGGTTTCTTCTGCAACCCACAGGGATTTTAAGGATCCTCCAGGTTCCTCACTCACACTGAGGTGTTCTCAGTGAATAGCAAGGTGCAAGAGCAACCTTTAAGTCCAAAGATAAGTTACAGTGCCCAGAAAACTCACCTGGCATGCTGAATTTTGAATTATTCCTCTTCTGTGCAGCACACAGAGACCAGTGCCAGGGAGCAAAAGGTCTGAAGGGATGGGGCTGAGCAGGACCTGTTGGCCCCCCAGGGCCCAGTCCCACTGAGAGGGGAGCAATGCAGGCAGAGATGGCCACCAGGTTCGGACATGAGCTCAGATCATCAGGCAGGTTCACAGCAAGGAGGCAAGTCTCAGGTCAACCTAGCAATAAGGCAGGGCTGAGAGCAAGCCCAGAAGTCAGTCCATGGCCAGGCACTGCTGAGCTGGAGGTCAGCACCTCCACTACATAACTTAAGGAGAGAATGAAGACCCAGGGCTGAGCTTAAATCAGTTCCTGGGGCCATGAGCCCAGGTGGGGCCCATTAACATCTATCAGTGCCCTCAGGCCCCCGAGAGATTCTGCCAAATTTGCAGCTTCACCACTTTGCAGGGAGGTGCTGGCTTGTGGGGGAGGAGACGCCTGAGATGACCCAGTTCTCCTGGGAGGTGGCACAGGGGAGGCTTATTAGCAATGCCCTTCTCGGGTTTTACTGCTGCTAAAGAGAAAAGGTCTTGGGGAGATTCATTCCTCTGCCACAGCAGGGGGTAGAGACAAAACTGCAAATGTAGTTTTAATGTTACAAGAAGAAAAAAGTAAATAAATAAACAAATGATATGAAATACTCCTGCACAAGGCATGAATACTTCTCAATTGTGTGTGTGTGTCCCTGGATGCCAGCTGGCTGGTCAAGAGGTGCAGGCTTCCCCAGAGGTGGCTTTGCTGTCCTTGTGGGCTCCCTTTCTGTCGGGGAGGTGTGCTGTGCTGAAGGGCCAGCAGGCCAGCTGGGAGACATGCCCTGCTCGTGGGTCCCATGCCGGTGTTGCTGGAGGCCCTGGACAGCAGCAGGAATCTCGTGCCTCTTTCTCCTTGTGCTCCTTCCCTGAGCCTTTGCAGCCAGAGATCTCTGGATGTTCTCCTCCGCCAGGTGAGCTGAGGGAAGAGACAAAAAGCCCTCAGGCTGCTCTCCTGGTGTAGCTAGGTGGCAGTGACCACAGCTTTGGCTCTGCTGTCCCATGTCACTCCTCACAAGCCTTGTGGGAAGCTCTCACTAGCATTTGGGCTGCCTGGGGTGATGTGATCCCTGTGATCCCACCCTGGTCTGATTTTAACTGGATACAGTACCCGAACTGACACAGAACTTTCCTCTGTTTTAACCAGCAGCTGCAGGCTGTTAGCTGCTGTGTCACTGCACGCGAGCAGCAGCGGGTTAGAGCGAGACGAGGAGATACCTGTAGGATTACAGAGGATGAAGCCGGGGATGAAGTGATACCAATTACAGAGAGGGCAGAGAAACGAGTCGTGGGCAATTACAGCACCCACCCAAGTGTGACGGGGTTAAGTCCTGCTCCTGCAGGGCAGCGCAGTGCTCCTGGGAGATTAACTGGGAGGGGAAGGCAGCCTGAGGGACAGGGACTGTCACCTGCCGAGCAGCAGGAATCAGCACAGCATTTCAAACAGGGTGAAGGCTTTTGTTCTGATCTGATTTTAACTCGATGCACAACCGAACTGACACAGATCTTTCCTCTTTTTCAGCCGGCATCTGCAGGTGTTATCTCAGCCAGGGTGTGAGAGGAGGAATGGATATTTCTGATCCCCACGCTACTGAGGAGGGACTGCAAGGCACGACATTTCTAGCCAGGCTTGGGAAAGGCTGGGAAAAGGAAAGTCGGGGAACAGCTGCTCAGGGACTTGGTGCAGGCTGGACTGTGGGAGTATGATTCGTGGCAGCATGGAGACCCAAACTCCTATCCCCAGCCACCAGCCTGCTGTGGTTTGTGATACATATTCTGCCGCTGCCTTCCTTCAGCTTTAGCATGCAAGCTGGGCTCCCCAGGGGCTGCACATCCCCCCTGCTGTGCAGAGAGGCAGCCGCTGCTTGGTGGCAGTGGGGGCTGGAGCCTGCCGATGGGGCAGCCTTCGTCTGGGCCCTGCTGGGACCTCCAGCACTTGGGCAGGAATTGTCACCCCAGTGCTCCTCCGTGGCTTGCTCTCTGCAACTCAACAGTTCACTTTACCAACTGCTACCAGCCGCCAAAGAAATCTTCCCAGCTAATATATTTAAAAAAAGGCAGTACAAATTCTATTTTAGAAATTGATTTTGCCAGCAAAGGTCACCACACTGGCTTCCGCAGGTGGTTGCCTGTCAGCCACCAGCTTCCTGCAAGTGCCTTGCAATGGAACTGGGGTGGACAGAGGTGACTCAGCATACGCTGGACTTCTGATAGATGGCTTTGTCCATGAGGCAGTGTGTCTGCAGAGATCTCACCATCCCCTTTCCCAGCAGGATTAACCCCTGGGACAGGGCTGGAGCCACCTCTCTGCAGCCTTACACGGACCCACAACCTCCAGGAGCTGTTCCGTCTCACCCAAAGCAGCCTAAAGGCTCTAAAGATCCTTCAGCTTGCGCCGTTGGCTCCCCCTGATGCCTCCAGTTGGAGGAAACAGAGATGGTCTGTTTTGCTCTCTATTTTTCCCTAATGATTCTCACTTGTGATTTATTTTCTCGATGGCTACTGACCACTGAAATGACATTTTCATAGCACAGTCTGTTACAACTCCAGCGTTCCAGATGGTAACACTTAACTCAGAACCCGTTGTTTTATAAATAGAGTTAAAATTATTTTTTCCCCTTGTGCACCATTTTATATTTATGTACATTTGAATTTCATCTTTTTTATTGCCCAGTCTCTTCGCACAGTTGGCCTTCATCCACACAACCCTGAAAAACTTTGTATCAGCACCGAACTTCAATATTTGCCTTCTTTTGCAGATCATTTTTGAATATGCTGAGTGCAGTCCCTGCACAGCTCCCTGGTGTTTTCTGCTACAGAAACAGATTGTTTCCTCCTACCTTTTGTTTCTTACCTTTTAGCAAACGATTTCTCCCTCTAAAGACCTTCCCTCCTATTCCAGGTCTGCTTCCTTTCTTTAGGAGCCGCTGCTGATGAACTCTGCCAAACACCTTTGAGAAATGCAGGTGGATGATCCCAGTGGGCTCACTTGCCCACACACCTCCTGAATCCTTCAATGAGCTCCAAGCTTACTCTGACAAGAAGTCCTACTTCTTCCCAGCCCACAGATCTGGTTTATAGCCTGCAGATCCCTGTGGCTCCAGCCCAGCCATCTCTCTGTCCCCTGGTGCCATGGTGGGTTTTACAGCACAGGTATTTGCCACAGCTAATAGCTTGACACTTTCAGGTTTGTGTCGCATCTGGGTCTTTGTTTGTCTGTGTCCCAGGCCTGGGTCTTTGTTGTTATTCTCTCAATCACTGATTTCTTCTGCAGGTTCTTATACTGCTGGTGTCCAGAAGCTGGTGGCAGCACAGTACACCTGGGGTGTCCCCTTCCTTATCAAAGAGCAATGTTTGTCTATGTAGGGGCTGATGTGAGTACTAACAGACCTGTGAAACAGGCACTAGTGAAAAATCCTGCAGATGCACCAAAGACAAAGCAAGTTTTCGCCAGGGAAAGCACAGCTACCTTCCCATAGCTATGCAAAACAAACGTATCCAAAAACTGCACAGCTAAGAAGGCCTTGCTAACACTGAGCTAAGATCGGGCAAACTTAATAGACCAATCTGGAAATGCCATGGTTCGTAGGGTTTAAAGCAAGGTCCATTTTGTGTCTTTGCTATTGAATTACACTTTGATACTTTGGCATTGACTAATGCATCTCCCAGCGAGGTGGCCAGTCTGGCCTGGGAGGGACTCTGAGCTGGAGAGCTCCAGAAACACAGCGCAGATGCTCCCAGGCCCTGCAAATATGTACTGGGCAGGCAAATGCATACTCAAAACCGATGGCTCTAATAAAAAACAAAGAGTAAAGGCCTCAAATCCTCCTATATGTCTCTCTCAGAGCTCCTGGTGCCAATAAAACTCTTAGCAGCAGCGACATTCTTTCAGCTTCCTCTTCAATGCTTCTCCAAAGCCAGGTCAAATTTAAAGTCCTGTCGTATGCCCGAGGGTCTGTTTTGATGCATTTGTCTCTTATTTACAAAAGATT